TATATATACAGTGGTGTGAAAAAGTTTTTGCCCACTTCCTGTTTTTTTTTAATTGTTTGCATATTTGTCACATTTAAAATATTCAGATCATCAAACAAATTTTAATATTTCATAAAGATAATGCAAGTAAATGCAAAATGCAGTTTTTAAATGATGATTTCTTTTATTAAGGGAAAAAAGCTGTCCAAACCTGCCTTGCCCTATGTGAAAAAGTAATTGCCCCCTAAATCTAACAACTGGTTGTGCCACGCTTTGCCGCAACAACTGCAATCAAGCATTTGCGATAACTGGCAATGAGCCTTTCACATCGCTGTGGAGGATTTTTGTCCCACTCTTCTTTGCAGAATTGTTTTCATTCCGCCACATTTTTGAGCTTTTGAGCATGAATGGACTGTTTAAGGTCATGCCACAGCATCTCAATCGGATTTAAGTCTGGACTTTGACTCCAAAACCTAACTCAAGTGCGCTTGAGGTCACAAACTGATGGCCGGACATTCTCCTTCAGGATTTTCTGATAGAGTGCAGAATTCATGGTTCCGTCAGTTATGGCGAGTCGTCCAGTTCCTGAAGCTGCAAAGCAGCCCCAGACCATCACACTACCACCACCATGTTTGACTGTTGCTATGATGTTCTTTTTATGAAATGCTGTGTTGGTTTTACGCCAGATGTAACGGGACACACACCTTCCAAAAAGTTCAACTTTTGTCTCATCAGTCCACAGAATATTTGCCCAAAAGTCTTGGGGATAAACAAGATATTTTTTGGCAAATGAGAGACGAGCCATTGTGTTCTTTTTGGTCAGCAGTGGCTTTTGCCTTGGAACTCTCCCATGGATGCCGTTTTTGCCCAGTCTCTTTCTTATTGTTGAATTATGAACACTGAGCTTAATTGAGGCAAGTGAGGCCTGCAGTTCTTTAGATGTTGTTCTGGGTTCTTTTATGACCTCTTGGATGAGTCGTCGTTGTGCTCTTGGAGTAATTTTGGTAGGCCAGCCACTCCTGGGAAGGTTCACCATTGTTCCAAGCTTTCTTTCTTTTATTTTTATTTTTTCTGTTCTCATGTCAAATGTGTATGTATGCATGCATGTATGTATGTACCAGGAACACCTTAAAAAAACAAATTCCTTGTGTGTTTGCACACCTGGCGAATAAAGCTAATTCTGATTCTCCATTTGTGGATAATGGCTCTAACCGTGGTTCGCTGGAGTCCCAAAGCCTTAGAAATGGCTTCATAAGCCTTTCCAGACTGATACATGTCAACTATTTTGTTTCTCATCTGTTCTTGAATTTCTTTAGATCACGGCATGATGTGTTGCTCTTTAAGCATGCTTCACTTTGTCAGACAGGTTCTATTTAAGTGATTTCTGGATTCAACAGGTCTGGCAGTAATCAGGTCTGCGTGTGGCTAGTGAACTTTAACTCAGCTTTCTAAAATAATGTGGTTAATCACAGTTCTTCCATGATTTAAGAGGAGGGGCAATTAATTTTTCATGTTGGGCCAGGTAGGTTTGGACAGCATTTTTCCCTTAATAAATGAAATTATAATTTAAAAACTGCAATTTGTATTTACTTGCATTATCTTTGTGTAATATAAAAAATTGGTTTGATGATCTGAATCTTTTAAGTGTGACATATGCAAAACATTTAAAAAACAGGAAGGGGGCAAAAACCTTTTCACGGCACTGTGTATGTATACACATATACACATACACCGGTTACCAACAGCTTTTATACACATTCAGCTGACATCTTTATTTTCTTAAGTATGCTTTCTACCCAAAGCTCATATTGGCATATCTTACTTCAAGAGGCAGATTAAATACAATTCAGCTACCAAGAGGACTGACCTACACACAAAACAGTCTACACCAACCTTCTCTTTGTTAATACTGCATGCAGTAGCAAAATGACTTGCTGATAAATTTGCTGATAATCAACAGAAAGGTTAGCATCTTGTGAATATGCACATTAGCAAATTTTTTTAAATAACAGGTTTAAAAAAAAAAAAGTGCATATTGAAAACGTGTACAAATATAGTCTAAGATTTAAAAAAATTAAAACAGTTATGTACAGTGAATATGGTTCAAAATGTCAGCAGTACCCTGAACCCAATCTAGGTGTCCATTTCAAAGCTAAACACCCCCTTGTAAATAATTTAGTCCCCAAGGAAAGCACAAAGTCTGGCCTGGCAGAGCAATTGAGCCAGTATTTTAGGATCAAACACATTCACAGAGCTCAGCAGGAAAGCAAACATTGTGTCAGAAGGATGAGTAACGGCGCTCATCCTTTTATCCTGGCATTTGCCAACAAAAGAGAAATTCAGCTCTTTGTAACATGCCAAGGTCAATGCTAAATGAACACATCATTGTGTATGGTTTCTTATAAAACTGGCTTGTTAAGAATAAGTGCACTGAGAGAGATGCCAGTCTTTCAATTAACTGTGGAGTTCGATGCAATTACAGGTTTGACAGCAATTTAAATTACTTTTAGTGCATTGAAGGGTGTGCAAAATGCATAAATCTTCATATATGACAGTAATTAATTTGTTAAGTAACAAAGATAATAGATTAATCAAAGTAATAATGAAATCATGTTTAAATACACCAAAGCAGTAGTTTGAGACCATATTTCCATTTTGAACATATAATATATCTGGCACTTAAATGTCATGATTTGACATGCTCTATTTGGCCATTAAATCAAAGACAACACTAACAGAGTAAAAGCAAATTCGTGTTCCTCCACTGCATGGCACCCGGAGAGCTTATATTAACAACACTGACAGCATTAACACAGCCTTCTCTTATGCTTGACTGTAGTCATGCTGACCAACAAGTATAAAAAGATAGACGCTGCATTTGATCTTTTTCATTAGTCAAACTGTATGACACAGAAGGAAAATAAGTGGACTTACTCGCCCCTGCAGAGCAGATGTGGCATCCAAACAGAGACAGAACAAGGCTCATACATGTGACTAGGTGAATCATATCTTCCTGAAGAGTTAATCCAGATGTGCGACGCCGATTTCCACGGAAAAGTAACCTGAACTAAACATTCCTCCAGCTATTACAGGATTATCCACAACGCATCTGTTTGCAACACGTATACATTGTGATCAGGAAGATGATAAACAATCTAAATCAGCATCATCCTCAGCATCCTCGCAGTCTGATGTCCAATGCGCCTCAATCTGTTGCCATCCCAATCCGCAAAGAGCGAGGAAAACGCTTCCTTTCGCGGTGATCTGTAGTGATTTGAGAGCTACAGTTAGCACACTTTGACGTCCTTTCATTGATGCTACAAAGGAACGTCAGCTTCGCCACCAGTTACAGTCTAATGTAACGCGTAAACGCATGGCGTCCATCGCATAGCTCGCCTTCCTCACTTTATGCGCTCGTGTACGCTTTAAGAATACCAATCAATCAGCGGCGCTGCATCGCGGGCACATGACCCACAGGTGGCCAGTTACTGATTGATTCTCAGCAGCCACTCGTTCACCTTCTATAGCCGCATGACGCACGAACCTGCACCGGTGTAGTGCCGAAATTTGCACCCTGCCAGATTATGCATCCTCTAGTTATTGGTAGGTTTAGGAGTAGGTGTGGGGGAGGGGTTAGGATTAGGGGTGGGGTTGGGATTAGGCAATCAGGTAGCGATTTCAATGAGGGGTGCATAATCTGGCAGGGGTGCAGAATTCGGCACAACACCGGCATGAACGCGGAGCAGCCGCCACCTCTCCAAAAACACCCTCACCAGCTCTGCTGGACGCGATTTATGGCGCCATTCAAACTTGCACACCGATAGTCCACTGCAAACATCATGAGAGACATAAGAATAGAACAGAACAGAACTGTGGGAAGAATGGAATAAAATAAATCACACATCAGAACACATATCTATTTAATTTATATAGTGTACTGCTATAATATTCAAATACATTAGCGTTTCACATTAGACAAGATGTGTGAATATAGTGTAATTAGATACAGCAGAATAGAATTTGTTACTTAAAGGAATACTAAATATTATATTAAGAATACATTATTTCAGATTGAACAGAATACACTCAAAAGAATCAAAGAATATTTCGAATAATTAATAACTAGATAAAACAGACAAGGCTGATTCACTCTGCTGGGAAACTATGCAAATTAATTTAAATCGTAATTATTCTCTTTAAGGCATAAGTGTAACTCATTTGGTCAAAATTAGTGACAATCCAATGTAACAAACTATATATTTTAGATTAACTTTCATAGAATAGTCTACTGGGATATTAATATTACGTTAAGAATACACAAGAATTTCTGATAAAATGGAATACAACCAAAAATGTTTTTAAAAAAATCCAAGAATAATATGAATAAAATAATTAAATAGAAAAGCTATTTGAAACAAAAATAAATAAATAATGCTAATATACACAGTACTGAATATATCATAATAGAATGAAACAGAACAGAATATGTCTTTGACTGCTGATCATACATAGTAGAATACTGATATAACATAATAGAGTCGAATAGAACACTGATTTGACTACTGATCATACCATAAAAGAATGCCGATATAACATAACAGAATAGAGTAGAAATATAATAGAATACTGCTTTGACTACTGTTCATACCACAATAGAATACTGATATAGCATAACACAATAGAATATGATTATACCATAATAGAATATTGATATAACAGAATTGAGCAGAATAGAACAGAACAGAATACTTATATTCTAACAGAATACTGATATGAAAAAAATAGAATAGAGTAGAACAGAATACCGTTTTTACTACTGTTCATACCATAATAGAATAGAATACTGTTTTGATTGCAGATTATACCATGGGACAGAATAGAATGCAATAGAATAGAATGCTGTTTTGACTACAGATTATACCATAGAATAGAACAGAATAGAATAGGATACTGCTTTGATTACTGATCATAATAGAATACTTATATACCATATTAAAAAAATAGAATAGAATATGGCTTTGACAAATGATCATAACAGAATACTGATATACCACAATAGAATAGAATACTGCTTTACAATTATAGAGCAGAATAGAATAGAATATGGCTTTGACAAATGATCATAACAGAATACTGATATACCATAATAGAATAGAATACTGCTTTACAATTATAGAGCAGAATAGAATAGAATATGGCTTTGACAAATGATCATAACAGAATACTGATATACCATAATAGAATAGAATACTGCTTTACAATTATAGAGCAGAATAGAATAGAATATGGCTTTGACAAATGATCATAACAGAATACTGATATACCATAATAGAATAGAATACTGCTTTACAATTATAGAGCAGAATAGAATAGAATATGGCTTTGACAAATGATCATAACAGAATACTGATATACCATAATAGAATAGAATACTGCTTTACAATTATAGAGCAGAATAGAATAGAATATGGCTTTGACAAATGATCATAACAGAATACTGATATACCATAATAGAATAGAATACTGCTTTACAATTATAGAGCAGAATAGAATAGAATATGGCTTTGACAAATGATCATAACAGAATACTGATATACCATAATAGAATAGAATACTGCTTTACAATTATAGAGCAGAATAGAATAGAATATGGCTTTGACAAATGATCATAACAGAATACTGATATACCATAATAGAATAGAATACTGCTTTACAATTATAGAGCAGAATAGAATAGAATATGGCTTTGACAAATGATCATAACAGAATACTGATATACCATAATAGAATAGAATACTGCTTTACAATTATAGAGCAGAATAGAATAGAATATGGCTTTGACAAATGATCATAACAGAATACTGATATACCATAATAGAATAGAATACTGCTTTACAATTATAGAGCAGAATAGAATAGAATATGGCTTTGACAAATGATCATAACAGAATACTGATATACCATAATAGAATAGAATACTGCTTTACAATTATAGAGCAGAATAGAATAGAATATGGCTTTGACAAATGATCATAACAGAATACTGATATACCATAATAGAATAGAATACTGCTTTACAATTATAGAGCAGAATAGAATAGAATATGGCTTTGACAAATGATCATAACAGAATACTGATATACCATAATAGAATAGAATACTGCTTTACAATTATAGAGCAGAATAGAATAGAATATGGCTTTGACAAATGATCATAACAGAATACTGATATACCATAATAGAATAGAATACTGCTTTACAATTATAGAGCAGAATAGAATAGAATATGGCTTTGACAAATGATCATAACAGAATACTGATATACCATAATAGAATAGAATACTGCTTTACAATTATAGAGCAGAATAGAATAGAATATGGCTTTGACAAATGATCATAACAGAATACTGATATACCATAATAGAATAGAATACTGCTTTACAATTATAGAGCAGAATAGAATAGAATATGGCTTTGACAAATGATCATAACAGAATACTGATATACCATAATAGAATAGAATACTGCTTTACAATTATAGAGCAGAATAGAATAGAATATGGCTTTGACAAATGATCATAACAGAATACTGATATACCATAATAGAATAGAATACTGCTTTACAATTATAGAGCAGAATAGAATAGAATATGGCTTTGACAAATGATCATAACAGAATACTGATATACCATAATAGAATAGAATACTGCTTTACAATTATAGAGCAGAATAGAATAGAATATGGCTTTGACAAATGATCATAACAGAATACTGATATACCATAATAGAATAGAATACTGCTTTACAATTATAGAGCAGAATAGAATAGAATATGGCTTTGACAAATGATCATAACAGAATACTGATATACCATAATAGAATAGAATACTGCTTTACAATTATAGAGCAGAATAGAATAGAATATGGCTTTGACAAATGATCATAACAGAATACTGATATACCATAATAGAATAGAATACTGCTTTACAATTATAGAGCAGAATAGAATAGAATATGGCTTTGACAAATGATCATAACAGAATACTGATATACCATAATAGAATAGAATACTGCTTTACAATTATAGAGCAGAATAGAATAGAATATGGCTTTGACAAATGATCATAACAGAATACTGATATACCATAATAGAATAGAATACTGCTTTACAATTATAGAGCAGAATAGAATAGAATATGGCTTTGACAAATGATCATAACAGAATACTGATATACCATAATAGAATAGAATACTGCTTTACAATTATAGAGCAGAATAGAATAGAATATGGCTTTGACAAATGATCATAACAGAATACTGATATACCATAATAGAATAGAATACTGCTTTACAATTATAGAGCAGAATAGAATAGAATATGGCTTTGACAAATGATCATAACAGAATACTGATATACCATAATAGAATAGAATACTGCTTTACAATTATAGATTTATATATATATATATATATATATATATATATATATATATATATATATATATATATATATATATATATATACATACTATTGAATATGAATATATATATATATAATTAATTATTTTATTATTTATTGATTATTTAATTTAATGATTATATATATATATATATATATAATTTAGAATCATAAGTATTTTTTAGTAAAAAAAAATAATTTATTTATTTATTAAAATTAATTTTAATTAATTTTTCTAAATGTTCTTGAAAAATGTCAAAATGTTAAAAACATCATAATTGTTTCTGCAGGACCCAGAGGAGAGTTTGATTGTATTAAGTGGCTGTGGAACATCAGGCCGTATTGTATTTCTTTTGGTGGTATACCGTTTAAGAAAGATTTAATAATTAATTAATTATAATAAATAAATAATAGCAGTTTGAATTAAAAAAAATAATAATAAATGAGAAACTACTGAATATTTACAGTATATTTATCTGTTCTCCCCCACTGTGTTCTTCATGACTGTTACATTTCTTCTTTAAATTTGTCATTCATACAGACATCCTTTAATGAGATGTTGAAAGCCCAAAAACAGAAACAGATCTGTTCGTACATCATAGCTGGAGGTGACAGGTGAATAAACAGTCTGTCTGTTTGATGCATAAGATGAGACTCCAGTGTGACACTGCAGTATTTCAGGACTCTGTTTTTAAAGGGCCCTGCTGACATCACAGGAGGCTCCAGAGGATGACCCGGCGCTGGGAGCTCGCACACTGGACAAGGTGAATGCAAGAACAAAGAGTTCACCATCCCAAGCAGAGACAACAGGCTTTTCTTTGACATTTTCAGAAGAACATGTGAACGGCACCTGTGCTCAACAACACAGTACCAGAGAGTTCTGGGCGGTTGACAGGTTGCTGCTATGTGATTACTAAAGTGTTCCAAAGGTTTTTAGTTTTTTTAACACATGGCTATGTGCTTGCTAGGTTGCTGCTTATAGGCCCAAGTCAATATTTCTCACCCCATGTCTCATCCATTTCCACCTATTTTATCATTTGAAAATCAAGTCTAATCAATTAGAAAAATAAGTGAGCTAAAGAACCTTTAGAAATTTAGATATTTGAGTAACGATATTAATAATGTTGCTTTTTTTTTTTAACCAAGAACACTATCTAAAGAACATTCATAGAGCTTGACTTATTTCAAACATATTTTTCTTTTTCCACTAACAGATTTGTGCAGGAAAGAAGCATGTTCTGTTCATTGGAATATCCTGTGGCATGTCGGTATGAATGATACTATTGTCTTTTTTTCAAATCGCATTATTCAATCAATAGTAAAGGACAAAAGTCGTGACAATAGAAATTTTAAATAAACTCTTCTCATTTGTAGATTAATTTAGTGAATTTTAACTAAACATCCAATAGTTCTGGGTTAAGTCTGTATTTAGGGTGACCAGACGTCCCAGTTTTCCAAGAACAGTCCTGGTTTTTCACATTCAAAACTTCACATTTTACATTCAAAATTTCTAATTTCACATACAAAAAAATAAAAATTGGACCAACAAAGCCTCCAAAAGCAAAAACATATATAAAATAACATTTAAAAAGAAAATTAACAATTTGAATTAATGCAGGATAGTCAGTTTGTGAAAATGAAAATATTAAATACAATTAGAAAATGTTACAAATATTTGTTCAATAAAAAAAAAAAAAAAAGGAAATACATATGTTAACATTTTATTTCTAAGTTCTCATTTTTAACTTTAGTTTTGTTATAAATAATTTTGTTATAATATAATACTATTTTGATATATGTTTCCTATTTGCAATGGCTACTGTTTACTATTTTTCATAATGTGATATTCGATTAATTGTATTAAAACCAGTTAGGGCCAGTTTATACCTACAAACACAATAATACAAATAACAAAAAAAAATGTTACTTCATAAATAATAACAAATGTGATTTTAATGATATTTTGACCACTGAAAATAGCCTCAAAAGCTGTTACTAGGGTGGTACCCTTTCAAAAGGTACTAATATGTACATTTAAGGTACAAATATGAAGGTACATTGATGGTACAAAAAGGCACCAAAAGGTACAAAAGTGTACCCTTTTGAAAGGGTACACTCTAAAAAATGCTGGGTTAAATATAACCAGCGCTGGGTTAAAAAGGGACAAACCCAGCGGTTGGGTTCAAAACAACCCAACCGCTGGGCAAAACAACCCAATAGCTGGGTTTGTCCCTTTCTAACCCAGCAATTTTTAGAGTGTACTACCCCAGTGACAGCTTTTTTAACTTTTTGAGTGTATGGTAGGAAATGTCTGCAGTTTTTATTACGTACAGTATGTAGGTAACATTAACGTGAGCCTTTATCAAAGCCGTCTGTAAATGCGCTTCATGATGTTGTTCTGTGTCAAAGGCACCGTTTGTTGCTGGGCAACTGGATTTTTGTCTGAAGCACTTAGACGTCTTTACTCCAGTGCTCCTGGGATTCAATCCTGTACATATGGCGAGGTAG